AAGCAGTGTGGTTACCAAGGCAAAGTTAGTTTTTCCTTCATACAAAATAACATAAACTCTCAGGTGTTTATTTTTTAATTACAAATGTTCAGCAAGTAGAGAAATGACTCATGCTTCATTGGCATTAAACCCAGCATCGGGAATTTGATTAACTTCAATTCTCTCTAACGGTGGGAGGATAGGCTTTCACAGTATTATTACTCTTGCTTCTATCTTTTTGCTCTGACTGTGGAGGGAAACATACAGTACAATTTCAATAGATGAACATGGAAGCAAAAATTCATCTCTATTTGATATTAAAAATTAAATATCCAGTAGAAATACTGAGGGGCTTACTTGATAATATGGCCTTTCTCATTGTTAGCATCAGCTTGGGTTTCTGAGATGTTAACTGGTGGGGTTTTTTTCTGTCAACCTGTTGACTTGCTCAACAGATAAAAGTAGAACTGCTTCTTCAACTTGTTTATGGTTTGGTGTACATAAGCTGTCAATGTCCTCTTGCTGCAAAGAAAGCTAACAGTATCCTGGGCTGCATTAGGAGGAGCATTGCCAACAGATTGAGTGAGGTGATTTTTCCCCTCAGCATCAGTGCAGCCACACCTGGAGTACTGTGTCCAGTTCTGGGCTCCCACTACAGGAGAAACATGGACATACTGAAGAGAGTTCAGTGAAGGGTCACCAAGATCATGAGAGGACTAGAGGATCTCTCCTTTGAGGAAAGTCTGAGAGAACTGGGACTGTTTAGCCTGGAGAAGAGAAGGCTCCAGGAGGATCTTATCAATGTTTGTAAATACCTGAAGGGAGCGTGCAAAGAAGACCAAACCAGTCTCTTTCCAGTGGTGCCCAGTGACAGGACCAGAGGCAATGGGCACACACTGAAACACAGGAGGTTCCCTCTGAACATTAGGAAACACTTTCACTGGGAAGGTGGCTGAACATTGGCACAGGTTGCCGAAAGAGACTGTGGAGTCGCCCACCTTGGAGATATTCAAGAGCCCTCCGGACATGGTCCTGGGCAACCAGTTCTAGGTGACCCTACTTGAGCAGGGGAGGTTGGACAAGGTGACCTCCAGAGATCCCTTCCAACCTCAACCATTCTGTGATGCTGTGAAATTTGCTGCTTTCTCAGATACAATGATGGGATTGAGTGCAAAAGCTCAGTTACTTTTTTTCTCTTTTCTTTTTTTTGTTAGTTTGCCCGGTAAATTAGTTATTTTTCCTAAATAACATCTGTGTAAATTCCCCTTATCCTCAGAATATTATGACTTAAAACAGTATTATTTCCAGGAAAACCTTCAGTTCTTATAAAACAAAGCATTTAAAGGTGGAAGATATGATTGTTTTTTTCAGGGTTTTGTGGTTTTTTTTCAAAACTGGCAGAAATATTTTGGCTACCCGTGTTAAACCATTAAAGCATTTGACAAGAGAAGAGATATCTCACACTATTTCATGATAGTTTGAAATATGTCCATTTTTGAGGAAAGATATACACAAGAAGAATGTGACTAATGTGTGAAACTATGAGTGACTCAAAAAACCTTGATTTAAAAAAATAAAGTAAAAGTCAGGGAGTTTGAAAGAGCCAATTCATGTAACTCTTTGTGGGTCACATTGGAGTTATAAGAAGTTCTGTGCTGTCTAGGGAGGCAGTATGATTCCAGAGTCAAAGGAAAAGTTGAAATCTGTTTAAAACAAAGCCCATTTTCCCCCGCATGGAGGCTGTTTTTCTTCACTTGCCTTGCATTTTTTTCAACCAAATCTCTCATATGGGTGCTGAAAAGAAGCACGTCAGAATGTGGTGGTGTTTTCATTGTCTCTTTCAGACATTAAATTCCCATCAGCAAATAAAATAAAATTCTTTCGTTTGTTCATTTTGTGCTGACAATATTCCTAAGTGTGTGAATGATCTTGCAAAAAAAAAAAAAAAAATGTTCTGTCAATATACTAAATAAAACAGGCTTAATGTACCGATCCCTGTAGATGGATAGGTATGTGTCCCTAGTTGTCTGTATTTACGTTTCAAACAAAAATTACTGTGGAAGTTATGTACCTTGGATGGCAGGAAAGTAAGTTTTTTTGATCTATTATCTAACTTGTCAGCATTGCAAGATCTTTCAGTCATCTGTAACACTCAAATATTAAAGAAAAGAAAAGATCTCTACAGTCTGAGAGAGACTGGAAGAAGGCTTATTATGCCGTGTTGTCACTATTTGTTCCAGAAGGAGAAATATCCCCTTTTTAATACAACAATATCTAAAGTGGTTTTTTTCTGCATGGTGTGCAGCCACACATGCATACACACATAAAAATACCACTTTCTGTTTCATTTGCTTGTGTTAGAATCACTGGGGTTTCTATCTTCCTGTTATTGTTTTCCCTTTCGTATTGCACTGTCAGTTATCTTTGTGAACATTTGAGAAGAAAGCTCTATGCATCTTTAAATTATTTTTAAAATGTAAATTAAGAATAATCTGGACTTTTTTGTGTCCCAAATATTTTCAAATCTTTTGCTCTTATGTCCTATTCTTATTTAGCAAGACTAGTAGATCCATATCTTCCCTGTCTGTTACTTTGTGCCCTTCTGGGTCTTCAGAATTCTGTAATGACTTCTGGATTTGGTATTATTCCCTCAGATTTTTAATTTTGGAGTCTGCTCTCTCCTCTGCCTACTAATGCTTTCTTTTATCTTTCCCTTGAGTCTCGTGCTTTGGGTAAGCCACAGGAGCCCTCTCACATACTAGATCATTTACCATGGAGAAATCAAGGAAAATTAACAGACATTTTAGTCATTCCTTTAATGGGACAGTGGTATCTGTGGTGTTCAGCCCTTCCCTTTCCCTCCAAGCAAAAAAATAGAGAAATAAATGGATTCTTGCAAAGTCCTGAAATTGCATGACTTAAAATAAAATTGTAAGAGATTAGGAACCCAATGGCAAGGCGAGTGTTGCACCAGTGTCCAAAAAAAGGGCCAAAAGATTAACCTGGGGAACTACAGGTCTGGAAGGCTAACTTCATCCCAGGGGAAGAACCATGGAGTAAGTCCTCTTAAAACATATTTCTGGGCATATGAAAAAGACAGTAATTGGGAAGAGGCAGCATGGATTTACCAAGGGTAAATCATGCCTCCCCAGTCTGATAGCCATCTATGATTTGGGATGAGGAGAGAGAAGTGAATGTCATTGGGTACTCAACTTTAGCAAGGGTTTTAACATTGTGTCCCACGACATTCTTACATCCAAGTTGGGACGTTATCATCTAGGTGGGTGGATGTCTAGATGATGAAAAGCTGGTCACCTAGTCAGACCCAGAAAGTCATGGTTAATGGGTCATACTCTACCTGGAGGTCAGTAGCAAGTGTGGAACTGCTGGGCTCTGTATTGGGACCTCTCTTGGTTGGTATTGTTATCAGGGGCCTGGAGGAGGTAACGGACCATGCACTCACCAACTGTACAGATAGCAAATTGGGAAGGATCAGTCGATATGCTTTCAGTAGTCAGGCTACGTTCCAGAGACCTGAACAATCTGGAGGAATGGGGTGACAGCGACCTTGTGAAAGTGAGTAAGAGCAAGTGCCAGGCGCTGACCCTGGGACAGAGGGGCCCCTGTGATGGCACAGGATTGGGATGGAGAGGCTGGTAGCACCCCTGTGGGAAGGGTCCTGGGATTTGGTGCCTCAAGTAGCAACGATAGCAAACATGGGCTGTATGGACAGGCCCATGGGCAGTCAATACAGGGAGTGGTTATCCCCCTCTGTTCAGCGCTCATTAGACCGTATCTAGAGTACCGCATCCAGTTTTGGCTCACCTGTTACAGCAAAAATAATGACAAACTGGAGTGAGTTTTGCTGAAGGCTGTCGAGAGTGACCCCATAGCAGTCTTCAGTTCTGGTCTCAGGTTTCTTATCAGCACCTACATGTTCTACTTCACGCTTTGTCTCAGTTTCTTCCCCTGGCTTCTTGATGGCTCTCACTGCTTGCTCATCTGCTCTCAGTCTTTTTTGCAATGTCTTTTCCCCAACGTGTTCCACTTTTTTTACTGCACCATAGAGAATCTCTGTCTCTTAAAAATCATTCTTTCCAGAATATGAAAAGGAATGCTAGAGCTGTACACAGGGAGCATAAGAATTACAAAACAAAACAAAAAAAACCTCCCACCCACATTCAGGCCATTTTTTCCCTAGTCATAGATGGCCAAAGTCATATGGATGACATTTTTAAGAAATCAGTTCTGCCTGAGGCAGATGTCCTGCCTGGAAAAGCTAACTATAAAGTTTGTTCAGTGTTCCAAGAAACTGAGAAAAATATTTTATAATGTGAAGTGTTAAGCAGTTTAATATAGGCTGTGCTACCAGCTCTGGTTGTAATAACATGTTTTTCTTCCATTTTTGTTAATTGTAGCTATCTACGTACATCAAAGGAAAATGGAAATAGATTGAATTGTTTGTGCTGTAAATTTGCTACAAGGGTATTTTTTTGTTGATAAGCTTTTGTAATATTTGGAAAATAAAATAAAATTGTGAGTTCTTATGAGGATAACAATTACACTTTAAAGACACATAAGGATCTATCCTTACAAATGAGTGATACTAATTAGCATGATAATTTAGTTACTTCCCTTAACTAGTAAGACACTGCTGTTCCTACATTAGATTATGTATTTGATGCAGATTCTGAAACTGATCAAAGTTATATGAATATAGAAATTGAAAAATATATTGTAGAATAATCACAAGACCATCTTCATGTCATTGTAATAACTGTTTCCAAGTAGAACTTTATTAGAGAAGTAGACCGTTCACTTTTTGATATATTACATTTTATAGAAAGTTTTGCAAGTGTAGACTCTACCTATTTATGTGTTATTTTCAATTTAAAAACTTACAAATGTAAATAGTCTTAGGGGGGAAAAAAGCAGATTATAGTAAAAATTGAGTAGTTATGCTTAATATTTTTATTTGTACTATTTATACACTGTCCTAAAATACTTTTCTTCATTTTAAGGTAACTGAGCTGCACAATATCAAAAACATAACTAGATTGCCTCGAGAGACAAAGAAGCATGCGGTGGCAATTATCTTTCATGATGAGACATCAAAGACATTTGCGTGTGAGTCAGGTAAGCAACTGGTACTGCGTCTCTAGCTTGAAGAAATCAAGTTGCACACTTAAGTCTTGCTCAGATGAATTAAGTTAAAACTCCTGATAGGAATCCTTGGCTTAAAGGAATTTGTTATAAACAAGAACTTTGGAGTTTGTGGTTTAGGTTTTTTAGGGTTTCATAGGGTTTGGGTTTTTTTTTAATATACTTAGGGAGGTGTTAGGGGTGTTACAGAGCTCTTTCTTCCATTACTTATCTTTGAGTGCACGCAGATGGTCTAAAGACTGGAGATTTTTAGCTAAACTTGTAAAACTGAGTAAAAAATACCTATGGGATATTATTAAGTCAAGATGTGAAACATTCTTTTTTTTTACCAACTTTTGCTACAGGCACTTACTAAACTAATAATTATCATGCCATTGCAAATAAGAGGTAAATACCAGCTAAAACCTCGGGATATTGTAAAGCTGGATGTGAAGCAGTCTGCAGTTTGAACAGCGACATGCTATAATGAATGAGTTAAGAACAGACTTGAGCATCGTGGTACATAATGACAAGTAGTTACTTGTGAGACACTGAACACTGCACTATTAAAGTGCGCTGTTTTCTTGTTGGAAAATGCAATTGTACATGTCTGTGTCCTAGGGTATATTTTACCGGAAAAAAATGTTTTTAAAAAGAATGGGAATTTTTTTAATGATAAGGCTTCTACTTGTTTAGTGACGTATTTGAAACTGTGCGTTTTAAAATTATATCTTAATATTATGATATAAACATTGCATGGTGTACAATCTAAGTTAAATACAATGAAACAAAATTCAAGAAACCCATGGAGGAAGTAGGTTAAAAGTGTGTAAGATCATGAAATACATGGATTTTGGATCAAGTATTGCAAACATTGATATATACATCCCATCATGAAAGACAAATTGACAGTTTTGTTTGTTTATTATTTTAAATTTGAAAACACACACATAGCAAGTCTGTGGCTTTCTAGGATCAGTTTAACAGATCATTAGATAAGTAGTTCACATTAAAGACTTTAAAAAAAAAAATTTCTTTTGCAGCTCATTTCCACAAGAGTTCTGTCTTCCCGCAAGGAACTATTAACATTTGTACTGCTGCTGAAATATGCCAAGTACTTTGCTTTCCTTTATAAAACTTACAAAAGTTTAAGGAATATTTAGAGAGCTGCTTGTTATTTAAGATATTTTCTTCTTCTTCTCAGATCTCTAAAAAAATGCTTGGTGGCAGTGGCTTCTGTGGGACAATGCCTGGACTTTTAGCAGCCTCATGGTGTATAGGGGTGTACACACGATGGGGTTCATTTTGGCACATCAGGCCACTTCTTTGGTTAACACAATAATACCTTTACTCAACTAACACCTCTTCTTTCCCATGGCTTCAGTGGGAAAGAACCACACAAGTGGTTTTGACTCTGACGAGAAGACTTTGACAAGTCTTCTTAAGAATCAGAACTGCTTTACCTTCTTGAATTATTTAGGAGCCCAAAGTCTCCAGCATGGAGTTTCTGAATATACAGAAGCAGATATTTTGTTTCCTATCATCATGACCTCCAGGGGCAAATGGAAGGACAGTAATGCTGAACCCATTGCTAAAGGTCTGCTGAGCATAGAGGAAATTGTTTCTTGTAAAGGAGGAGGAAGCAATGCTCAAAGCTGAGTTGATTTTATATGGGGACTGAACAATGTGAGGTAGGGTTTTTGTCAGAGTTGTAGCAGGAAATGTTTTAAAATAACCGTATGATTTTGGTTTTGATAGTATGGGCTGATATCTTTTACTCTGTGCAGTCTAAAAGTTCATGTGATGAAAAGCAGCACATTTTTCTGGTACTTAGCTTTCTTAATTACAGAATTAAGCACAGTAAAATGCTATTCTGTTTTAAAACAGGTCTCTAAAGATATAGAACACTTCAGTCCTCCCCAGGAAGCCTGAGAGCTGTGATACCAGCCCACTGGGTGTGCTGGCCAGGAGCCTATGGTTTTTTTCCTCAGCTCCTGTGGCTTCTAGGCCCTCAGCTTGCTTATTCTTCAAGGCAGCTACTGGCAAGTCTGAGCTCTGGATGGGCTGTAACCCCCATATTTCCATTAGGATTTCAGCAAATTAGTCATCTAAGGAGCATCTAATTTTTAGTAATCTTCATTTGCTAATGAAAACTTTCTGTAAAAAAACAAACAAAAATCCTCCGTGTGCTTTTGTTATAATGTAGCTGTCCCTGTCACTACCACCAGAGCTCCCAGCATCTACAACAGCTGTAGAAATCTGTTCAGTTCTGGGGCTCTATTGAAATATTTTGAAGAGGAAACCAGTCTCAGCTATTACAGTTCCCTGATTCAAAGCAGGGGATAGCAAGTCTTTGAAGAAGAATTATCCCTCTTCAGGGAGAGAAGGAAGCTACTGGCTGTCGCTGTATCTCCTTCTGACAACTGTTCTAGTGGGCAGAGGCCTGTGACTTTGGTGATTAGCAAGCAACATTTTTAAATTGTCTCAGTTACCACCAGAACTGTTTCAGTGGAAGTAAGCTAATGAGAAGTCATGGATGATTAAATAACATGAAAAGTAGTCTATAACTCAGTGAACTTAAGACAGACTCTAAAGAGCGAGAATTCTCCTTCAGACCATGGGAAAATGCTGCCACCTTTGCAAGGAACATGCTACCGTCTCAGTTTCAGCCTTCCTGAAAATCATGTGAAAGTTATTGCTCTTAAGGGAATTTTAACATTTATTTTTTATCAAGAAACATGAAATTTTGAGCTGCATTAGAAACAGGGAAATGCAAAACGCTCAGGTTGCTAACACACTGAGAGTTGAGATAAAATTAAATGTTGCCAAATGTATAAGCAGGTTAAGTGAAATGACAGAATACTGTGAAGAAAAATGAAGCAGTTTTGGGGAATGGAGCATATTTACTCCAGCATAATAAAGATTAAAAAAGATAATACTGTTGTCTTTCAACTACACCAAGGAGAAAAAAAAGGAAAGTTTTTAAGATATAAAGTGACCTTATCACAAGAACAAATATAGAATATATGCCCAGTATCAGTCTAAGTTACTATGGCCGTTCAAATAGCAGCAGCAACATAGACTGAAAATTTAGAGGAGTATTTCCTGGAGTTAAAGCAGTGAGGTTCCACACAGACTCACAGAAATCCTTCCCCATTCCCACATGGGTTCTTTTCTGCGCTCCATGGTGCATCTGGCAGGGGGGTTGGAAACAAATATAGAATATATGCCCAGTATCAGTCTAAGTTACTATGGCCGTTCAAATAGCAGCAGCAACATAGACTGAAAATTTAGAGGAGTATTTCCTGGAGTTAAAGCAGTGAGGTTCCACACAGACTCACAGAAATCCTTCCCCATTCCCACATGGGTTCTTTTCTGCGCTCCATGGTGCATCTGGCAGGGGGGTTGGACAGATGATCCCCAGAGGTCCCTTCCAACCCGACCATTCTGAGATTCTGTGATTATCAAGGAAAAGGAGAAATTCTCTTAACTCTGGATGCTAGCTACTGGGTTTGAGGTGCTTTCTTTCAGCTCTCTCTAAAGTTGTAGATATGATGCAGTGAGCAATGGTGGCTATGCAGGACCAGCAAGAAAATGAAATTGATGGACATGAATACTGATTAAAGCTAGAAGTTTATGGTCCTGTTATGGAAGTTGCTAGTATGATGGGGATTGTGCCTGAATAATAGCTAGCTTTCAAGGAATTAAGTTTCTGGGTTGCACTAGGTCAGTAACAGACCATATGGGAGCAAGATTTTTCCTTCAGTGATGCCAGCAAAATATTAAATGATACAAGTCCTTGGCTCTTTTAGTCTCAGTGGACCCACCAGCACAAGTTTGTGTAAGATTTATTTTGATTTCTAAAAAACAGAATGTGAGGAAAATTGATGAACTTGTAAACCTATAGATAAAGTCAAAATGGGGCATTGCAAATAGTATGGATTCAGAGACAAGAGCGACAAAATAAATTAGGGCTGAAATGTGATTTCAGTGATTTGAGTATAGAATGAGATGTAACATGAGGAAAAGGGGCAAAATTACAGAGAAATCTTAAAAATGCAACTGTGAAACAAATGCAGGCATCCCCCAAGATACTGGTATTTGTCTGACTTCTCTTCAGTACAGTGCCCCATTCTGCATAGAACTAGATGAATTGAAGGGGTTTATTTCTTTCCAGGCATGCATGAAGTGCAGTTCTAGAGTCATTGCAATCCTTTTCTTCTATATTCTCATGCTTTCAACCTTTTCTGAGTGCAGTCAAACTGTGGTAAGTCAGTCTTGTTATAACTCTGCAAAAAAAAAAGTTTTAATTTTTGAAAATGAAAGCCTTGGTGTCAAGTGACAATGTGTTCAGCAATGTGTTTTTTTTTAGTTCTGTACATATATTTCCTTTTAAACCTGTTTTCACCATTTGTTGGTGTTACTTTCTTTTCTTTAAAAAAAACCCATGTCACTGCTATCATTTAAAAAGGCACAAATTCAGTTCATTTTTGTACTGAAAAAGCTTTTGGGCTATTGCCAAATTACTACTGATTATGAGCCGGGCTCTTTCTCCTTGATAGTTTTCACAAGCAAAAATGTTCTGTGCTTGAAGAGTTTGACAGATGTCAGTGGGAAATTAGATGTAATTCATATCACTATAGCCTTTGACAGCTAAGAAGCCTGGAGGTTTTGGATTGAAATTACAGAGAAACACTGAGGCTTTGAGATGAAAGTGATCATACCTGCTGTTATTACTAACAATACAAATGGCTAGATAAGCTTTAAAAACAACCAGATTAAAGTTCCTATTTTCAGTCTTAGTTTTGCAAGTCTGAAGCTCCAGGATCATGGAGGTGGTGGAAGTCAAGCACAGCTTCCCAAATACAGTTTGGTACTGGAAAGAGGAATAGAAAGTTCACCTTTTGCATGCAAAATATGATAGAAAAAATGATAGAATCATAGAATGGTTTAGGTTGGAAAGGACCTTGAAGATCATTGAGTTCCAACCCCCT